ACATACACAAAACGACCGTTTGTCCTTATTTTAAGTCATGTTTTTTTGTCTGTTACATTATAAATGTGGGTTGAATCTCTCCAATTTAGCTTCTTGGATAAAGAATGTAATAATTTGCAATAAACGTCATGAAAATAACAAAAACTGCTGACAGTTTTATTGATCATTGCTGTTATCTAATGGTTCATAGACAACGACCGGGTGTTAAGACCATGGGAAAAGCAGCTTAATGTCATCAATATGACTTACAGAAATTCATATTGCTGGATATTGTGTTGATATGGAATCTTTACATGCTAAAAGTCACACCCGCTGATCTATTTCATACATATTCAAGATATATATAGTTCTTAAAACCACACTGTTTCCTCGATATGTTATGTTACTAAATTGCTGACATTGAAATATAAAACAATGGGAAAATTGTAATTTTTTATAGATTTTATACCACAGTTTAAGCTAATTTTCATTTTCATTTATTATTTATTTCAAATGGTGCTATTTCAGACAGCGTTATTTTTAGTTACTAGATTTTTGTTCTATGTATCATTAGTGAAATACTGAAATCGTTTCATTTACACTAAGTAAATAAAAAATAAAAATAAAAAGAAAATAAGAATGATTAGAGTGTGTTAAGAAATAAATGTTTGCAGTGACTGATACCAAAACGATATTTGGCGTATCTGAAAAACAAAGAATTTTTTTTGTAATATGTATATATTGTAATTTGACCATATGATTACTTCCCAAAAATATTTTTTAGTCAGTGTTTCGAAGAACCGGCCATGTCCTCATGTTTTGTCACTTATAACTATATTTACTATGGCGTTCTGATTTCTTTTAAATGTCAAATGTTTACCCGCATGTCACTGAATCGTTTATTTCTGAATATATATCACATAGTGAACCTGTACAGAGATTTTATTCCTCCAAATAAACTCTCTTTAAAACGTATTCTATTAGGTCTGTCAACGATTGAATTTCCTATATTTGTGTAAACTCATTTTCGCGCTCTTTTCGTCTCTGATTGTCGCATTATTGTCAAGGGTTTGCTTCTTTGGCAAGATAATATCGCTGATTAGGAGTCATCCTAGCATCAAATTCGACACTAATAATGCGAAACTACGCCTTAACGACATCCAATTACTAGCTCTACATATCTTTTTCTCAGTATTGTCGGATTGAAGAGAAAGAAAAGAAATACACATAGGTTAGATGTCTGTCATGATAGCATGAAATTAAAGCCTTATTTTATAAAAAAAAAAAATTTATTTTACCCTATACCGCGATAAATATTTTAATTGGACATGTCCATCTTTCGATTTTACAAGACTATAATATGCACTGACTGAATATAGAGTGCAGACCAAGACCACTGACGGATGTGCAATACCCTGGTCGCATAGGCTGTTCATATCGCAGCCAACTTAGGGTTATTGAAATGTTTCTTTTTTTTATATTTGCGATCGTTTTTATGCAGTCTATCATTCGTTATAGTTATTTTTGTTTCATGATTTTGTTCGTAATTGCAACTTGTAGATTATTGATTTATCTGAATGGTCCGTACTTCTTCCCCTTTGCTGTTAACGCTTTATAATTGGGACAGTGTATGTGACATATAAATCGACGTGGTTCTGTCATTTTTTCAGCCTAAGGTTATGCTAGAATGTTGTGAATAATTGTACTTAGATCTTATGCTTCCTACAACATCATGTAGTATTTCTTTTTTATAAATAATCAAGAAACTCAAATGTTATCAAGTGCATCGAACCTGTTAATTCCATATCTTCTTTTTAGTTTAAAAATGCTTTGACATGTTACATTCAAGCCCTGAAAAAAGCATGAGAAGTATTTGTTCATACAATTTTCTATAGTAACTATTAATTATTCCAGGAATATGTTTTATATAAATCTTTAAAAGTCTTACTAAAACGAGAAAAACTGAAGGATGGAAGAAATAAAATACTTCTTTTCTAAGTGATAATTCGTTTTTTTTTGGTTTATGGTATTTTCTACAAATGTGTATGTCCGAGAAATTATTTTTTGTAAGAATTATCATATTTATTTATTTTTTAGACTTAAAACATTTAATTTACTTACAGTTTGTCACTTCATTTTTACTTATTTTATCGTCCTTTATCAACACATGGATATGACATCCTAGAGATAAATGTTACAATGTAATCTATGTCATACAGTGCAAATGTTGCCCATGGGCCCTATGATCTGTGAGCGCCGTAACGGATTGTTTTCCGATGATTTTTTTTCCTGGTATATTTACAAACTCATATGGGATTTCCTTTTGGCTATTCATGATTGAAGTTTTGATGTATTTTTGTTGTTCAGTTGTTGTTTATTATCCATCACAATTATTCAATTACTGATCCATTAATTGAGCAATAGTTCTTAATTCGTCGAGACTATATGCCTATCTTGAATCTGTGTTAAATCACGGAGTAATGAAAGCTGTAAGGATTTTAATGAAGAATAAAATTTCAACGATATTTTAAATTTCAAAATTTGAATGATTAGCTTTCATAATGCAAATAATTTTAAACTATGTAATCACAGTTAAACAACAATAAAGTTTATCTCCATATAACATTTTTTTTTTCAATTTTAAAGACGTGTTACAAAAAGACAACTTGGCTAAAATGAATTAAACTTATATATTCAGTTAAGTCGATCTAATTGATAATGAAATTAATTGTCAACAAACCTTAAAACTTAAAACACTTATATTTTTCTAATTATTTTTGTCTATCTTTTCAGATGGACAGGCTTATTCATTTAAGTCTCATATTTAACAATAAATACAAGTAAAGTCTTCAGAAAAGAAATTTCAACATAAAAACCTTTGTTAAACGACTTTACTTTTTTATTACAGAATATATTAATGTAGCAAAAGCTAGTCACTTTTATATAATCTATTGTTTTATAAAGCAGCATGCCTCCAGATTCATGCTAATTTTTTTGAAACTTTTAAAAAATGTATTTAAAAGAAAATATTGCGAAGTGGACTACGAAAGTAATTTATAAATTACAGGGCACTTACAATCCATGTAAAATACCAAAAAAAAAAGAGGTCAAAACATGTAAAATTAGCCTTTACTGTGTTAGCAACGCATTAGAAACATGGTGTTAAATACTGTAAAAGTCATTAATTGCAAATAACGTGTAAATTCTTACTTCAATTTTGAATGTTTTTACTTTTCTTCGAATCTTTGTACATGTTGCTCAAGTTTGATGTTTATGAAATATTTTGGCTCATCTTGAGGCATGCAGCTTTACACCCCGGAAAAAATAAAGTACCAGATAGTAACAAAACTATGCATATATTAAGATAGTTAGACCAATCGTGCGTGTGTGAAATAAAACATGGCCAAAGCTTTCCTTATTCATTGCTTCACATGGTGTTGTGAATGAGGAAGCTCCCAAAATACCTTTAAGAAAGAAATACGTCATTCTTTGTTGATTTCCTTAAGAGCGAACAGTGCATCGCAAAATTATTGTTAAACGATAGAAAAGCAACATACTATTTTGTCATCGAACATTCAATTCTGAGACATTCAATATTCAATGTTACGGCTCTTTCAAGAATCAACTTTGAAATTATGGAAAAATTATATAAATTCTATGAATTATTCCTTTTTATCAGCTTTATACACTTTGATTATGTCGTCAATCTAATGTAGTACTTTGTAATACATTTTGCTTAATCAGTCTTTTAGGGTGATATTATGAACTATTTCCTTGTGATGTGTTTATCTATAAAAATAATAACAATACCGATAAGATTTTTAAGTAATCTCATTTGAAAAGTGCAAATTTGATTGAAATTCTTTGTGCAATTTTCTCATATAAAACCATCATTGTCATTGTTTTCTACTTATGTATAATTCTCATCAGAGAGCCGGTTAGAAATCCTATTAATTATTCCGTTAGATGTCGGTCTATTCATTGCTATTTAATTATTGGAATATGTAATACTACACAATTGATAAATGCCGGTCCAGACAAATCAGCAATTATCATCCAGACCCGATATATGATAGCGCAAGTTACGACTATGTTCTCTGCCAATTTTTGTTTACAATACTATCATTATAGAGTATCACGATAATAAAGTCCGAGTGTAACACTCATAAAAAGATTACAATCTAAATACAACAATAGTATAACTTGCAGATAATTCTTGAACAAATATTAATTCATTTCACAAATGTATTCTTTGTCTGGATCATGATAGGTTTTTCATAAACATAAAGGACAAATAGATTTCGTTTTTTTATGTACTTAATTACTTATGCTAAATTCAGTAAAAAAAAATGCCATGAAATATACTCATAAAATGATTATGTTGCGAACTTATCGTTTAGATTAAATATAAACCCTTTCTGATTTAGTGAATTTAAAGGGACATAGTAACTCAAAGATAATTGTTTTTATTCTTTAGAAAGAACAAACTGTGTTTTAAAATTCTGTAATAACGGGTAAAGAACATATGAAATGCTTATCACCCGAAAATGATATCGTTGAATGCGAAAGAATATAATGTGATAAATGTAGTAACATAGAAAAGTGGTATTTTGACTTCAATATGAAGTACTTATTTACTATGACTATATGTATACTAATTGCAAATGTAGCAAAAGATGGCCACAGAAAACATTTTGGAAACTGTTATAGGACACCTAATCAACAACAACAACAAAAATGTTAAATAAACATATAAGCATTTTTGAGTCTAAGGGCCTTTACACCACCACAAAACAAAATTTTAATAAACAAGTAGACAAACCCTGTCTGTGAATATTTATCTTGGTTGGTAAAAAAATGGAAAGAAGCAGTATACATTTTGTAAATGTTTTATATCAGTCATGTATGATTAAGTTATTAATAACGAATGCTATGTTAAGTTAAATAGTAAACACCTAATATTATAATAGTATTGCATGATAATAATCATATTGATAAATAAATATGCTTTATATTTTAAGGGGGTATTCCTATGCCTATTATCCGTATACTTTTCACTACAACCGTCCTCGAGCTTTCGATGCAAGACCTTATGGATATAAAAGAGGCCGTCTTGACAGGATTTCGATGGGATTCATCAAAAGAGCTGACGAGGTACCTGACGAGACACTACAAATGGATGAGTCCGATCGAGACAGTCTAAGAGAATTCATGTCGACTCTTGAAAATGCTAAAAACAATCTTGTTCCCATCAGAGAAACTCGAGGTTTTGATTCTATATCATCTGGTTTTATACGAAAAAAAAGATCTACCGACAATTATGTCGATAAAGGAAATACTGACAGTGAGAAAAATACAGATAACAGTGAACAAAACATTGAACTCGATAAAAAGGCTTTTGATCGGTTGAATTCCGGATTTGTTAAAAAGGGCCTTGACAGAATGACTTCTGGATTTATTAAGAAAAGGCCTTTCGATCGACTTACTTCTGGCTTTGTTAAAAAGGATGATGATAATGAGATAAACGACGAAGACCATCAAGATCTTTATGAAAAGCGAGGGCTAGATCGGCTGAACAGTGGATTTATAAAGAAAAGCGACACAATTGAAAACGAAAAGCGTCGTCTCGATCGATTGAATAGTGGGTTCGTTAAAAAAGGTCTAGACAGATTATCTAGCGGATTTGTAAAAAAGGGCCTTGATAGGTTATCTAGTGGATTTGTTAAGAAAGGGCTTGACAGATTGTCCAGTGGCTTTGTAAAGAAAAATGATTTGGATGAACACAACATTGATGAACTCTCTGACGGACAAGAGGAAAAACGGGGATTCGATAGGATTTCCAGTGGATTTGTTAAAAAAGACCAACAGGAGTTCAATGACGAACGAGATTCAAATGATAAGAGAGGGCTAGATCGGATTTCTATGGGATTTGTAAAGAAAGATGAAATAGATCCAGAAATGAAACGAGGATTTGACAGAATAACGAGTGGTTTCGTAAAGCGCCCATTCGATAGATTAACATCCGGATTTGTGAAAAAGTCTGACAACTTTAACATGGAGGACAAAAGAGGATTCGACAGAATTTCCAGCGGATTTGTAAAGAAAAGCGATATAGACATGCAAGATAAAAGGGGATTCGACAGGCTGACAAGCGGCTTCGTTAAGCGCCGCCCATTTGATAGATTGTCCTCTGGATTTGTGAAGAAGTCTAATAACTACTTTGACGAAGAGTACCCAGAAAATAGCATGGACAAGAGATATTTTGACAGACTCAACTCCGGTTTTGTTAAACGGAGCGGCATGTCTGAAGAGAGTCAGTCTCCTGATTTCCAAGCTTATCATAGAAGGAAACGTACTGCAGGCTTTGATCGTATAGGATATGGATTGTTCAAAAGATCATATGACAATATCCGTGATTCGGATTTGTATTATCCTTATACAGATCAATTGGATGATCTATTTTGAAGAATGAAACTTAAGAGTGATGTACAATTATACATGACAGCTGTTTAACGTTTTTATCGGATGCATATTTGATTAAACGGTTACTTGTACCTTTTGAACAAAAAGAATGGATGAACATGATGTTTAAGAAATTATTGCCTTGTTGAAATGATATTATTATTTTCATGTATAGCAATTGTTGGCAATATAACGGAATTGCACACGATTTTTAATATAAAAGCGTTATTTGTTATGTTTAAAAAAATATATTTGATAAACAAATCTGAGTTGGCGAAACCATAATGATACAAACTAACAGGACTTTGATTGATTATTTTCCATAATAATGTCGGCTTGACAAGAGCGATACGAGTTTACAATAACGGCCAGTTTGATGAACAATATCAAATAAGGTGTATACGAGTATCTATATGTCATCTTTGGCCGCATAAGCATTGCCGGAAAATCTCTAATATTTTTCATTCTTACTATTTTGTTATAAAGTTATTCACTAATTAACTGATACTTTTTGTAGAAAAATAGAAGCTATTGTTTAATTTCGACAACAGAATTTAAGTATGTTAAAAATATAATACTCGTTTCTAACTTATTATGGTCTTTGCAGTGTTTTGATAGGTTTAGCTATTTAACATACTTAAACATTTAAAGATATCATGCAAGAAATCAAATAATGTACTTGTCAGTTAAAAAACAAAATACCTTTTTTGTTCGCATGCGTTTAGTTCTGGGCTTGAGGTTATAAATTTTTTCTGAGTTCTATCTCAAATGTCAGGATTTTCATTGGGCAGTGTACATTCTGAGCTGGTTTTTGACCAATCAAATACCTGAGATCTGTGTTAGAGCTTCTTTATAACCTCGGGGCATGGTGTAAATGTGGTACGTTTAATCTCGTGGGAAGAAGAGACTTTGGTTGGTGGTATAGTGTTCTTACTACATTAACCGTTACTTGATGCGAGTAAATAATAATATAGCATTGACCTGGTGACTTGAAGTTTTATTCTCATGTTTACACATAACATTTATAAGCACTTTCTTTTTTAAATAATAAAATTTGAAATATAAACGGCTGTGATAAATAGTCTTTTCAAGATTACGTGGAATATATTTTAATTATTTTTATAGGCGTGATAAGCCTTCTGATTCAACAGTGCTGAAACACTTTTTTTTCTGCTGAAACTTGATTACCGTTAAAATGACACTAACTTTCAATTCTTTTAATCATTTAAAAAACGTTTGAAATTTGTTTGTTTGTTTTTGTTTTTTTTCTCATTACAAATTATTATTAGCATTAATTATACATTTTTATTATAATTAAAAAAGATTGAACTTAACGCTTTATTTTTACATCTGAACTGTTTAACCGCTTTATATACTAATAATATTTGGAACTATATATCTATATCGCCTGTTTATGTTAATGAAATAGTAACCAACCAGCAATTAAGCATCAAGGCAAACTACTGGCCAACTTTATTTGTTGATAATAATCAGTTTTGAAATAAAAATGGATGTATCCGGAATTTTTTTCTCATGTGTACATTAAGATAATACCTAAAACTTAATGTGAAATAATTGCGTTTAGAAATTATTGTTAATGAACTACATACTCTTTTGTAAAAATGACTTTTTATTTTATGCTTTTCAGTGGATTACTGATTTATCCGTGAAAATTATATTTGGTAATTTCACAGTGAAAATTATCAAAATATAATTTCACTCTTTTCAATGACGAAACTACTTTTTTAAGATTTTCCCCATGTGGTACCTCAATTTTATTTTTGCTGACAATTCTGACAATGTCAGGCTGTTTAAAGAAAAAGCAAAACTGAAATTGATTAATAACTTAAATGTCAAAAGTAATAAAAAGAAGAAAACTTACTTCTATTCATTCAAATTCATGAAATTCCAATCACCAAATTTCGTTTTTTTTGTTTCATTTTGACAGTCTCAAAAATACATTCCTTCCCCATGCAAAACTGCTCTTGATGACATTTGGGCATATTAAAGTATCCTACGAGCAATAACTGCCGTATGCTTTATGAAAAATTGACAGCATTGACAGCCATAACTCGAAGAATAAGTTAAATCAACCCAGCGTTCTTGAGAAGGTTTCCAAGTTTTCCATTTTCCTAGCTCCTTTTCTGAATGTTTTCACATCTGTCAACACTTATTTTTTGTCTGTTACAATCCTCAAATAAGTTTTCTTTCTTTTAAAAATGTGTATGACTAACAAATCCAAATTATATCCCTCTGAATCTTACACAATTATTTTCCTCCATGAAATACACAACTTTAAAAAATGGCTGCCGCTTACAATTTACAAAGCCAGGTCTAATATAAATTCGCACTAAGTAACAGAAATATGGATGGATGGTTGGACTTTTCTCCTACAAGAATTGTTTGTTTTTTATTATCAAAACAAGCGATCATTCATATTTTTTTAATAAAATTAATAAATATCACCGTCATTTAATGTTGATTGGCGGACTTATTTTTCAGCTCAAGACTTCTTTTTTTTAATGAGAAATCCCGAATAAATGGGGCTCTCAATGGGGGAAACAGTTTTAATATTAACGTTAAAATTATGGAAATTTCGTTTTAACTTGTTTTTAAGCATAAAATAAAAAGAAAACTTGTCTGTTTGTTGTGTAAGATGTAATTTTATTTCATCTCGTGAACTTTAAAAACAGTATTCTCACTCGTGGCTTCGCCACTCGTGAGAATACTGTTTTTTAAGCCCACTCGATGAAATAAAATTTCATCTTACACACAAACAAACAAATATCCTCTATATATGTAAATGTATATAATTTTTCTGTTCTAATATTTAAAGACTACTTGGCTGCGGAAGATCAGCATAAACACAGTTGCAATTTGGCGATGATGCTTACATTTTGACAAATATACCATTTATAAACAATCATTTTGTGAAGTTGTGAAATGAAGTAATTAGAAAATAAAAAATATATCTATTTTGATCATTTGCTTTATCGAATGTACAGCACAATTCTATTTTCATTGCAATAAAAAATAAAATATTATTGAATTTATTATTTTGTTGGAAATAACTTAAACATTTGTTTCCACTTACACTATTTCTGATGTCTACATGACAGTACATGTCTTCTGTTTTCTCTGATTTCGAGATATCAGCTCCTGTTCAGAAAAAAAATGATTGGAAGGTTGTGATTTCCGTAAATCTTTTATTGACTTTACATGTCAAGTTGTGAAATTTCTTGACTATGTGCTCGAGGTAGAATGAAAAAAAGATGTGTTCTACGCCGCAAATTAATGGGTGTAAAAATTCGAATTGTATGATTAAACTTGCTCCAGTTCAGAAGTAAAGATAACTGATTAATGTATTGATAAATTAGGCTAACCTAAACACTCGAAACAGTAAAGACAACGTGCTTCCAAGATTTTAACTGCTGTGTTACTCTTTATCAAATTAATCCAAATTGTTCCAAAGCTCGTCAATTATTACCAGTTAAAACTGTCATGAAACCTTGTCCCGATTACTCGACGCGGAATGAGTTGTCGAATACAAGTATAAACTTCCAATTAGTGAATATTTTACACAAATAGCACATCAATAATATGATGTGAGTTCAAAAATTTCAATAAAGCAAGTATCTCCCATGCATAAAAGGTTGTTTCATTTGCTTTTTTACCCAACCTTTCAGAAACATTCATAAAATTTGTTTAACGCAAATGAGTAGTATCCTCTATCAGCCTCGTAAAGCTTAAATGTTTTTGTTTTTAACAAAGAAATAAAAATCACTACCATGGTATTCAATATCTGTGAATCATCATATTAAGTAAACTCGCCTGGCACGTCATTGAACATTAAACAATTTTCAAGCTGTTTTTAAATTTGACTTTAATTAAGTTCACATAATATAATTATAAAAGTACACTTCATACTTATACGAGTATACTAGTTATAACCGTCGTACCGTTGGCATCGAATCACATATATGGCATCCTTTGTCGGGCATCTTTGAGTTTGTGACTTTTAAAAGACGCTAAATTATGTCATACGGAAAACTATCTTTCTAAAAAAAGTACGATTGATATCGACTTGTGTTGAAGGTTATGGCATTTTGATTTTAAAATTTGCGGCCTATAGTTTTTTTAGTTTGGGTTTACGTCGCAACAACACAGTTCAGGTCATATGGCGACTTAACAGCTTTACTCCTGCGCATCGGTGAAATGTTTCACTATCATTAACTTTTTTACTGAGCTGCTAAGGGAGCGTATGTTGGAGGAAGACCTCAGTCTGAGAAGAACCACCGACGTTCCGTAAGCTAGATGGATAGCTTCCTCACATGAAACATTACCTAAAGAAATTGTATCGTGCTATTGATAGTTTCTGTCGTAAGAAAGAAAGAACTTTATGGGTTATCTACTTGAATTGTAACTTGAAAACATTTTAATCTATACAAAATGTAAAGTTGTTTTTTTCGTATAAAAAAAGCAAAAAGGATATTACTCCTTTCGAAAACACAAGGCGATGAAAATGGTGACAGCAGTTAGTTCATTGAAGGCTTGTATTTTGAATATATAAATGATCCTCATGTCCTCAAATATTAAAAGAACCAGTTAACATTTATGTATCTTATCTGCAGATGTTTACTTATTCTGAAATAAACATCATTTTCAAACTTAAGCCGCTGCTATGGGACTTGAACAGCATTAACCACAGCGGCCTATAAACAGGCTCAACTAATCCAAACCTAAAGCATTTTCAATGTTTCAGTTTTGCGCAACCTTAAAAATTTCTATTTAGATAATTTAATGACTCTATACGTACAACAATTTTAAGAATTCAAATAATGTAAACTTGTCTGTAAAGTCTGTGATTCATTTTCAAAAAAATACATTTTAATTGTATCAAATGTAAAATGTATTCGCTATCAGTTAATCCTTTTATAAATGTATCTAGAAACTGTTTAAAACGTCATTTCTTAAAACACCCTTTCAATTTTAATGCAACACATTAACAATATGTTTATTAACAACACAAACTAGTATCATTCTTCAAATACTCTATATCGTGATTGCGATTAAGATCTGAAACTCTGCATTATAGCAGACACCAATGTGCTAGTAATCTACAATACATTTAAGACGAATCTATAATTTAACAATTATTCGAATCAGGTCCATTATAGTTTCAATTTTCTATCAAAGTGTCTGTGTGAAAAATAGACAAGGGAATGTATATCGTTCGTTTACATTTTAATGTTTTTCTCAATTATTCTTTTCATTGTGTTGAAGCAAGGATTTATATTATGTAATATAAATCCGTGGTTGAAGTATCAATGTTTTGATGGCAATATACCAAAAAATCAAATCTTTTGATCACTTTAACATTTTAAATCGAGAATAAAAAAATCTAAAATACATTTATTAAGATTTTTTTAATCGAGAACAAAACTCTTTAATACATGATAGGTTTGTGTTATAATAATTGTGATGACGATTTGAGAAATCTACTTCATGTAAGCTTCAAGGGTACTTATAACAGTTAGTAGATAATATGCGTGGCGCCATATTGATATTGC